GCTGGTTATAAGCTAACATTATGCCAGCTAATGTTTGGCTCGAGTGTCCTAAAAATTACACTTTTAAACTGATAAACAGTTTGATTATATTTTTAAATTGATGAGAGTTTATTCGCTACGTGCCTGAGTCCAGCAATGTTAGATCCACTTAAAAGAAAACTTGACTGACATCGGCTAATAGCAGCTAATGCTAGCTGGCAGCAGCTAACAGTGGCTAACAACAGAAACAACAGCAGTGTCATTATGCGGTACATTCTTAATTTAATTTAATGTTTCTGATCTCTATTGCTGAGTAAAAAAATATTTGTCCTATAACAGCTGCCATAGATAACATAATGCACTTGAATTAGAATGTATAAAAAACAGAATTTAGTTGACTGCAATCTACAATCTATTAACGTCTAGTGATGAAATTCTACACACTATATCTTTAAAGTTAAAAAGTGCTATAAATTAAGTTTGAAAACTTGAGAACCCTGAGTTAAAATGTTGAGGTTGGAATGCTAAGAATAAAGTATATAAGGTTTATAGACAATAAAGCTAAAAGTCATGGTCAAGGTTATATTGATAATTTTACGAACAATAATCTGTTAGGTGTTATTAACTGTGAGCCCAATGCGCTACCAAATTATTGATGTTCCATTTTAATGAATATTAATAGCATAATGTTCTATTTATTCTGTAAAGTAAATAGAATATTCTCTGTTCTCGATTCATGTGGCTGTAATACTCCTTTGTAGTGTTTTTTTGGTTCCTGGTTTGATTTAGAAAGAGCTCATATCTAAAGATGACTCTAAAAATAAGCTCTTCATCTATTGGCTGGAGATGCAGATTTGCTGGTCAACAACTATGAACTCCGACATATGGGAGCTTGAGGCAAAATCTTCAGCAGACGCACATTCTCTAATATTTTTCCAGCGCATAGAAGTGGAAATGAAGGAGACATGGTATGCTGTGCTCTGTGCTCAACTATGCATAAGTATGATCATGATTTTAACGTGGCGTTGTGACTTAAAAGTGTTTCTTCCTAGAAGCGTGAGTCACAGTCAGTCACAATACGTTGGGGAAATGCAGGGGAGGAGCGCTACACCATCAAACAGGAAAACAAGGGAAGGCTTTATGAGTCACACATTTAGAACACCTCCTCTCACCCAAAGCAAACCCAACAAACAGCTCCCATCAAGCGTGTGTGCTAGATACACAAACACATAAAATACAAACATAAACATTTATGTATATTTGCACATAATATAAATACATGCACCCTTCTATATATACATTCAGGACATATGTATAGTGCATGCCAGACATATATGTGTAGATGTTGATATACATTGACATGTGTAAACATGTGTACATGTATGTGAGGTAAAATTTGCCAATGATGAATGGTGAATAAGGATCTGTGCTTCATCTTACCATAACATTCATATATTTTCAGGCTCTAAAACAACTTTTTTTATATACTTACCCAGGTTACAGTTCTAAGATAGATATAGGCCTTAAGTGTTGACTTTTCTTCTAGGAATTCCATCCATTTTAAGGGACGGTGTTTTTTCAGAGGCTCAAATGTAATCGGACAATTCTAGCAAAAGCTGTTTCCCGTACTTGGAGGTAAAAAGGTCTGCAGTTGATGCAGTAGCATTTGGATTTCGGAAACAGTTTCAGTGGAACTCTCAATGTGTGTGAAATGGGCAATTCTGCCCATACTTCAAAAATAAAACAAATCCATCACAGAGAAAGTGGAAACATGAGAGTTCATTCGGTTCTAGTTCATTCTGAAAATATAGTGAGCTGGTCAGCACTACAGGCTGAATATCTATATAAAAAGGCCTGGATATCTGTGGAAGAGACCAGTGGTAGATGATTGCCTGATGCTTTTGACTGAAAAGAAAAAGCCCTTCACAAGAACCATTTTCAGGAGGTAGATGTATCATTACAAGTCCATCACAGAAAGACAAAAAGAAAGAAAGAAAAAAAGAAAGAAAGAAAGAAAGAAAGAAAGAAAGAAAGAAAATGTAAAAAGCAAGAAAAGTTCCGAAACAGCATTCATTGGATCAATGACTCTACAAATGTAACAGAATTATAGGGAAAAAATATATGGAGAAGGTTTGGAATGGATCATGATTCAACGCTCACAACATCATCTGTAAAACCTGTGTGAAACATTGTGATGTATGGGCAAGCATGGCTTCCAGTGGCACTGAGTAACCTGTGCTTATTGATGATGTGACAGAAGACTGAAACATCAAGTGTGCATAGCTTTCGTTTCAGTAAAGCAGACTGCACACACCTCTCAGTACAGACAGACAATCATCGTGGGTTCGAATGAAATGTTGTCATCAGACGTGAGCATGCAGGTCTCTGTTAATGTCAACGTGCCTGCCAAGCTTTTTGTGACCACACAAAAATACACCAACTACACATGTGCCTATAGATGGAACACCTGCAGCTGCAGTATTTCTAGCTGTCCATGTCTGACTAAATTAGAGTATAATCAAGGTTTAATAGCCAACAAAACAAGGGTGAATACAGCCCATGATCTTTCCTGTCTTAGCCTAGTTAAAAACATACAGTCCCAGCTGCCATCAAATGAAGTTAATAAGCTTTCCCACCATTTCCCATTGTCTGTGATCCATGTTAGGATCTCAGTTGATGATTTTCCAGGCAATAGGAATTTTCTTCAGCAAAGGTGAAATAAATAATTTAGTTCAATTCAGTTTTATTTCTATAGCACCAAATCATAACAACAGTTGCCTCAAGGCACTTTACATTGTAAGGTAAGGACCCTACAGCAATACACAGCAAACAGAGAAAACTCCAACAGTCAGATAACCCCTGATGAGCAAGCACTTTGGCAACAGTGGGAAGGAAAAACTCCTTTTTAACAAGAAGAAAGCTTTGGCAGAACCAGGCTAAGAGAGGGCGAAGCCACCTGCCGCCACCGGGGTGAGTGGAGGAAGACAGGACAAAGACACTGTGGAAGAGAGCCAGACATTAACAATAACTTGCCTGACACAGTTACAAAGAAATTATTTAAGCACATAAACACAGTGTGGTGATTGCTAAATGGACTGATTCTTATTTTCTACTCCAGTCACATGGATTGGAATGCTCTATGCTTTCTATCTACCAATCATACACATTCACACTGTGATGAATGCATCACAGAGCAACTTGGGTTAGTATTTGCGCAAGGATATTTGGCATGCAGACTGGAGGAGCCAGGGATCAAACCACCAACCTTCCAATCAGCACATGACCTGCTCTACCTCCTGAGCTACAGCCATCCTTATACAAACAAGGACAGTGAAAAAATGGTGCAGAAAGTTGCATCTGGTCAGAAGGAAAAATTTGGAAGAGTTGGCCGGATTTGTACAAAATGATGCAAGGATATTGATGGTTACACTGTTGGATGTAAGACACCATAACACAGCTGATCAGTTTGTTTCACTAACTGATCTACACATTTCGTAGAGGTTATAGGAGTTGTGGCGGTTTAGTTTAAAATGACAGCTGTAATCAGCACATTTCAACTTTAATCTCAAAAAACTATTTCAAGTTTAATCGCAAAATGACTCTTTTTTTCCCCCCGAATGTGTTCTTAATACTCATCATAAATATCCCTTACGTTTCTTGTGTGTAGTTATTTATTGACTTCACATTTAAGCCAGCTTGTTGTTGTGTTTTTGATGATGCCAACAAGGAAAATGCAGATTGCCCTCTGGTGGACAACTAACGTAACATCAAAATTCATAACACGTGTCAAGGGTGTTTCTACGATCTTTATTTTTTACATTGTCAGTTATTAGCTGTTATTAATGCTGATACAGATGGATTGGCCAGTAGCTAATATCAGTCGACAATACTGGTCCACAATATTGGTAAATTGGTGAGGCTTTAATTACTACAAATCGTGATCAGTTTTGCTGCCTTTGATCTGCTGCATTTGTGAATCTGCAGATCTCAGGAGTGCACTCTCATTTGGGACTTGTGTTAGAGAAACTTCCTCCTTGTTTCCTTCTGGAAACTGCAAAAACAAGCTGTGAGTACCAATCAGGGTTCGTAACGCTGCTCACTAGGTTGGAATTTCATTTCAAGTTGGCGCACTGCTTGCATGTGTCAGCTTGAAATGGCACAGGGAAGCATTCTCTGATCACTTTGAAATCAAAGTGATCAGAGAAAACAAAGTAGAAAGCAGTGCACAAATGAATTCTAAAATGGACACGCAGAGGGAAAATGCCTCTTTTGAAAACTTAAAAAGCCATCAAGTTACATCAGAAAATGAAATGAAATTGATTAAATTTTGCATGATATCAACTAAACTTTTTAGCGGGGATAGCAGCTGATGGTTAGAGCCATGTGTCTGCAGAAACTTCAGTCTCTGTGCACGTGATCATGTCACACACACTCATGTATTCCACACTGACACACACATGTGCACGCAACATCTACAAATACACCCACAGCTCAACTGTAGTAGATTTCATGAGTGCCAGCAGCATGAAGGCTGCCTCCCCCTTCCTCTCCCTCACATTTCACTTCCTCTCTCCCTCCCTCTCTCTATCACTCTTTCTCTCTCCATTGCTCTCTCACTCTCTTCTTCTCTTGCTCACTCTCTATGCAATTCTTTGTTTCTTTGCTGCTTGCGGTGTTGGGAATCCTCTTTTATCCTGTTTTGTTTTTTTCCCCTTCTTTGAATCTTTGTTTCCATCTCTTGATGAGAGAAGTCTCCTGCAGATTTGGCTCTTTTATTTCTTGTCTTCTCATCTTTCTCTCTCTCTCTCTCGCCATGTCTCCTGGTTCCAAACACTGAACCTCTCACTCTGCCTCTCTCTGGATCCGGCATTTCCTATGCATCTCCCCGCTGCTGAGGGGTACAGGGACTCGTCTCTCCCCTCTTTCTCTCCCGCTCCCACTCCGGCTCCTCCACCTCTACCTCCTCTGCTTCACCTCTCGTCCTCTCGCTTCCTAACGGAGGGATAATGTTCTATTTCCAGCTGGTGATCATGGCTGGGACGGTGCTGCTGGCTTACTACTTTGAGTACACGGACACCTTCCCCGTGCACATCCAGGGCTTCTTCTGTTACGACAAGACCTTCTCTAAGCCCTACCCTGGTCCGGATGATACCAGCAAGATCCCTCCGGTGCTCATCTACTCGCTCGTCACAGCCATCCCTACCCTCACGGTAAGAGTTCTAATTATTTATTCATTTCTAAGTATGGAAGTAAAGATTGGCAGATATAGAAGGGGGTGGGTAGTTAAGAAATTCAAGAGATAATCATGCAAGTGGGTTTGCATCTCCCGTGCTCTGAAAAAGCAGAGTGGGGAAAAATGATGCGTTAGAAAGATGGAAGTTATCAAAGTTGAGATTGTGTATTAGATTTGCTCTGTCTTTAGATGCTGTGAAAGTGCATAAGAATCTCCTACTTCTGGTGTTTGGTAGTTCTCATGATGAATCATCTGTTGTGCGTGTGTGTGTGTGTTTGTGTGTTGCACCACTGTCGATAGTGTGCAGATTGGTAAGCTGCATAGAGGTAACCCCCTCCGCCCTCTGTCCTTGACAAGTGGATGCAAGTGTGTGTTTGTATGTGTGTGAAGAGTACAAAAAAAACTGAGGCAAGCATCAGCTCGGACCACACAGAGATGTGATAAGAAGAGGCAGACAGGTCATTAGAGAGAGAGAAAGAGAGCATCAGAGGAAGAGAGACAAACAACACAGAAAGCAATAAAAACGAAGTGAGGTAAAAGTTGGAGTTGAGACAGAGCAGTGATGGCAGGCAACAGATGCTGTTCTTAAAAAACAAAACAAAAAAAACCCTGAAGTAATAGGTGAGAAAAAGACACATGAGCACAACGGAGGGTAATTTTTTAAGAGGGGGTGTGTGCTATTATTTTTGTACTGTATTCATGTATGTTTGCACATGCATGAATGCTTGTGCATGTGTGTGCGTGTGAGGTTGGCTGTTGAGCCTCAAGTGAGATAGGAGGCAGTGAGCCTGAAATGTGTAACACCTGACCCTGAGTGCAGACACAAACCCGAACAGCTTAAATCCCCAGCACGCCACGAAAAAGAAAGAAAGAAAGAAAGAAAGAAAGAAAGAAAGAAAGAAAGAAAGAAAATAAACAGCACATACAGAAACCAACCAGCATCCACAATACAAAGCACACAAATAACCTGAGCAGATTACATGCACAGACAAAAACCACAGCCTGCACTCAGTGCAAAGACAAGAATACCCCACAACTGGAGCACCAAACAATCGCAGATGATGAGGTTTTCTGTGCAGCAGTTCATTGCCAGAAGAAAGACTGTGGGCTGTTATAATGTGGTACCGCTGTGTACAGTTTGTCTCGCAGCCACAATACACAGTGATTTTTTTTCTAATTGCGAGCTGTTAGCAACCACAGCAGACAAAATAATACGCGTAAGTAATTTAATGGATGCAGAAAGTATTTATATTCACAACTAAGTGATAAAGTTGATATATTTGGTAGGAATATAATAAAAGAGAGAAGAAAATGTACAAATGTACAAGTTTGTACGTCTTCTTTTATGAAAGTGTTTGTTTTCTCACATTTGGATGAAACAGCATTTATTTTTTATAAATGCTGTTTCATTTATAAACAGCATTTATAAAAAAATATATAAATGGGGATTGGATTGTAGGGCTGTGTGTGCATAGGGCATGTTTGTTGGGTTCTTCTTTTGTCTTCCATTTGTACAGTTTCCTCACTTTTTCAATATTTTAAGGACATGCTGCACTCCATGCTGTTTTCAGCTAATATGGTGACTCTCTGTGAATCACCTTGTTGGTGCAAAAGTACGATTTCTTTATTTTAAACTGTGTTATTGTTTGCATTTTTAAAGATTCAACTAAAGAAATCAGAACAAATTATGTGTTTCTGTGACAGGCTGCTTGTCAGTAGCGGTTTTTGATACGGGCGACACGGGCGGTTGCCCGGGGCGGCATCGTGGTGGGGGGCGGCTTCACGGGCAAAAAATAAATAAATTGCTTGTACTCATGCTGCCCCGACATCAACCAGCGCATATTGGGAATGACATAGGCACCGATCGGTTTTCTATCGCCCATTTGCTGGGAGTAAGGGCGCCCTCCGTTTGCGAGGTGTGCCTGCTGCTTGCGGCGCAGAGAGGAGAGGGCGGGGCGGCGGGGGGTTCTCTGGCTGGCTGGAGCTGCATCTAATAACCAACTCGCAAAATAAAACAAAATAAAAACAAACCAACAAACACGAAAACACCAGACAGCATGATACAGACTTATAATTTGCACCGATGTTTTTTCTAAATTCTATACGCGAAAAGTGAGCGCGAGAGCCCTCGGTGCGCCTGCTCGCTGCTGTGCTGAAGTCAAAATAAACTTTGTCATCTCCGCTACATACAGTACAGTATATAGAGAGACGAGACGATGAAGCTCCAGTTACAGCAGTGCAAGTAAACAAACAATAAATATAAGAAGAGTAAGAAAATAAATATACACTCTAGGACTAGGGGCAAACGGATCAATAACAATTTAAAATTTAAAATTTACATTTTGATGATTTAAAGTTTCACACACAACCTGTCGAAAGGGGAGGGGGCCCAACTGCTTCCAAATAGAGCACATTTCATTCCTAATGTTGTAAATCCAAGCGCATTATGTATTCATGATTTGAATCCTGGGTTGTGCAAAATCCCAGAAATAAACCCTAGACAAAGTGAATCTGTGAATTAAGGTGTAGGTCTATTGGGTTATGTTGTGGTGATCCTCGGGTTGGGGGATGGGTGTTCGACTGGAGTGCAAAATTAGAGGGAGGGAGTGTTCGCCCAGGGCGCCAAACAGGCTAGGACCGCCACTGCTGCTTGTAATAATGGGCCTAAGTCTGTTCAGTGCAGACACAACACTGATTCATCCACTGAGTTAGGAGCTTTTTTATGCTTGAATGGTGGCTTAAGAAACTGGACTGGACTGAAGATGAGTGGGAAAAGCAGCCAATGTCCAAATAAAATTTTTGAAATTTTTCAGAAAGACCACTTAAAAATGACAAGAAAGTCTTTCTCATAAAGAAATAGGGCTGGCTCAGGATAGGACATAGCAGAAAATTGTATGTGTTATTTAGTGCTAAGTAACTCACTAATACCTACACAGCAGGACATATTATTTTGTGGATAATTTAATTTCTCTTGAGTTGGATTATCCACAGAGACCTTTAAATCTGCCCTAACTCAGGGTAAATTACTGGGGATGTTGAACTGGGTCAGAGCGCATTACTTACACCAGCTAGTCTGCCCTAACCTGTGCTGACAGAGGCCTTGGTATGTGTAACAAGCACCAAAGCAAATCACAGCAGTAACTCCCTGAGATAGTGGCAGTCTGGTGTAAACGTGCAATGCCATTTTGTTATTATATTCAGTTATTGTGCATATTCTTTGATTTGAATGTCGAATGAATCTCTACTGAATGTAGTAGAGATATAGAGTATGAGAGCATCGTACCATAATACTGCTACTGCAGGAACTAATTACACTTTAGAATGTGGACTTAATTACTTGTACTGACCATGTAAATGAGACCTTGTCTGGCTGAGCCATTGAAGGTAATAGGCATCCAGTGTATTTGGGTCAGCGCCAGTCCTCCAAGCCCAACAGAGGGCAGTCTAGCACTCAGTCGGCTCCCAGTGTGGCTCCCAACATTTAATTAAAATCATCAATCACTTTTTGAAGGTTTTAGCACAAAGACCCAATCCACTGTGTGGAGACCAAAACATAAGAGGAGGTTCAAGGCAGGTTTCCACCTCAGTAACATTAAGGTCAACTTTTTTATAACTTTGTAGATTACACTAAAGGTGGGAAGAACTAATAAAGAAGGGTTTTTTTTCCCTATAGTTTCTTTAGATTATTTCCAAAAGCACTGAGCATGGGTGAGATCCATCTTTTCAGTACGTATAAAAAAGTCAAAATTTGTTACACCTATAAGTTTATGAAATCTAATACAGTCCACAACAGGCCTACAATTAGGGATGGGATTTGAGAACCGGTTCTTTTAGAAAACCAGTTCCTATTAGTCCAATTTCTTGGAATTGTTAATCTGCCTGTTAAAATAACCCAACAATATGAGCGGACATTTAGGGTAATTTAGGTAAGATCTTTTATAATCTGTAAAGATTTTAAAATTATTGTGTGTCCAGGCCACATTCATCTTTCCATGGGAGCAAACTTGCCTTCTTTCTCAAGCATACTTTAGTTGGGTGATATCGCAGCCACTTTCAGGGAGCACTGAGTAACTGGTCAATTATTTCTTCAAACTATCTTTGCATCTCCACATGGAACACCAGTCACCAGTGACAATGTAATTATCCCCCACTAACCTCCCACCCGGTAAGCACTGCCAATTTACTGTTAGCTTCTGTTGGTATGCATGAGCAAACCAAATGCGCTGTAATTTTTTCAAACAATGGCCATGGCTCATCTTTATTGCTAAGCAAAGTTTTGAGTCACACTTGATTTCTTTATATTTCAGAGGAATGTTGTTGTACTTGTTTTTTGTTTGTTTGTTGAGTCACTTAACACCACCCTATGACTCATTCAAGCATAAATGGTCATCTCAAGGAACTCAAGGACCAGTGTTACGGCTACACATAACAGACAACTTAGCAAAGAGCTATTATGTAGGACTAATAAAGGTTATCCTATTAGCTGAAAAATTGGCATATTTCAGGTTGCAGGACTATAGCACATGAACAGTCTGGAAGTCATGTCCTTAAGAAACAGGGAAAATCCAGCAAAACCTGACATAAAACCTGAGAGATGCATCTGGATGTTCAGTTGATCCATCTACTGTTCACTCAAGCCGGTTCAGAAATGTTGAAGGGTGGCAAAGGCTGAGGTATGCCAAATTACTCAAGAACTGTACTCAAAAATCAGTGGGAACACATCTGATAGAGTGATGAATGCAAATTTGAAATGTTATGTTTAAACTGTCAGTGAACAGGGAAGATGGGGAGTGAAGTACAACATGAGTGACTACAGCCATCATTAAAAAAACGGTGGAGGCTCTGTCATGGTTTGGGGCTCCGTTTAACTCAGTGGTGCTGGAGATGTCATCAAAATTGATGAAATTACACAGAAAACTACTTTAGGTTTAATCCTAATAGTAAAAAATTGCTGGTCTTTTCTTCATGGACTTATAT